CATTTCTCTAAGAACTAATGCAAAATGGTATTGAGAGCTCAAAGTGTAGGTGTAGGGATTTTAGTTGATACTGTCTTCCTGCTATAAATAGATTAAAAAAAAAAATTGGCCAGGTGTGGTGGCTCAGCCTGTAATCCCACCATTTTGGGAGGCTGAGACGAGAGGATTGCCTGATCCCAGCGTTTCGAGATCAGCCAGGGCAACTTGGTAGATCGCGTTTCTACCATAGATCAAAAAATTAGCCGGGCATGGTGGCGTGCTTCTGTAATTCCAGCTACTTGGAAGGCTGAGGCGGAAGGATCGCCTAAGCCCAGCAGGTTGAGGCTGTGGAGGCCATGAGTGTGTCACTGCACTCCAGCCTGGGCAACAAGAATGAGACTCCAACTTAAAAAAAAAAAAAGAGCTGCAAAGATTTCACATTTTACATTTTCTTGTTAGCAGTAATATCAGTGTTTTATGTTTTTTTTTTTTTTTTGAGTTGGAGTCTCACTCTGTCGCCCAGACTGGAGTGCAGTGGCCGCTCCCGGCCACCGCAGCCTCGACCTGCTGGGCTCCGGCGATCCTTCCGCCTCAGCCTTCCAAGTAGCCGGAATTACAGGTGCGCGCTACCATGCCCGGCTGATTTTTTGATTTATTGTAGAGATGAGGTCTCGCTGTCCAGGTGGGTCTCGAACCCGCGGGCTCAGGCAATCCACTCACCTCAGCCTCCCAAAGGCGCGGGATTACAGGCTGAGCCACCGAGCCCGGCTAATATTTTATGTTTTAAGAGTATATTCTGGGCAACCCCTTCGTGTCCTTTTCCACTGTGGGAGCTTTTCTGTTCTCTCAGTAAATCCTGCTTTAAAAAAAAAAGTATATTCTACTAATATGTACAATTAGAATACGGAGTTCTAAAGTCATTTCAAGTAATTATTTTCTCTGGTCATTTTGCTAATTTTATGTATAGTTAGTTTTTTAGGTTTATTTGTATCAGTTTATATTCATCAGAGGGGTTAAAAGAACTAAATTATATTAAGAATGTGTAATTGCCGGGCTCGGTGGCTCAGCCTGTAATCCCATGCCTTTGGGAGGCTGAGGTGAGTGGATTGCCTGAGCCCGCGGGTTCGAGACCCACCTGGGCAGCGAGACCTCATCTCTACAATAAATCAAAAATCAGCTGGGCGTGGTAGCGCATGCTTGTAGTTCCGGCTACTCGGAAGGCTGAGGCGGAAGGATCGCCGGAGCCCAGCGGGTCGAGGCTGCGGGGGCCGGGAGC